TTTTTTTTTGTGAGTTTGAATTTTGTTCTACATTTTTCTCTAACTCTGTCCGGGTCCCTCTATTGTGATCCCTGTCAGAGCAGTTGATGGTGGTAGTTGGGCACCGTCTAGTTGTGCTGGACTCAGTCTGGTGGAGGCTGTGGTAGATGTGGTCCATGAGCCCTTTGGACTAATCTTTCTCTTGTGTCTTTGGTTTTCTTCATTCTCCCTGGCTCCAGACAGAGTGGGACCAGTGGAGTATCTTAGATGGCCACTCACAAGCTTTTAAGATGCAAGATGTTCCTCACCAAAGTAGGATGTAGAACATTTTCTTTATAAACTGCGTTATGCCAATTGAGCTAGATGTCGTCCGAGACCATGGTACCCAGCCCTCAGCCCTGTAATTTGGTTCCTTAGGGAGTTTGGAGGTGTCTATGAAGCTTCTATGACTTCGCCTTGGTCAAATTGTGCTGCCTTCCCCAGTATTGTGTACTGTCTTACCCTTCACCAAAGTTACCACTTACCTAGTGCAGGTTCTTATTCTTAGTCTTAGTCTGGAAGCTCCACTGAAACCTGTCCACCATGGGTGACCCTACTAATATTTGAAATACCAGTGGTGTAGCTGCCAGCATCACAGTATCTTGCAAGCCACCACAGTATGACAGTGATAGGATAATATCCAGATGAGTGGTGGTCAATGGACAATAACAATATAAAAACTTTTATCAGTTACTACTGTCATCTGCTACCGTAATTATAAAATGTTCCCAGAGCATTCATTCAACAGATGCTTACCTGAGGCCCTACCACTAGCCGATGCTGTTCTAGGTGCTGGGATATTGGGTGACCAAGACTGGTAAGGCCCACCCTTGCCCTCAGGGAGTGGATGTTCTCCTTTAGCAGACCTGGTCTTCTCACAGAGTTTGCTGTATCATCAAAGGAGAAGGATGAGAGAGCAAACAGGAAATTTATGTAGAAACAAGTGGCTAAAAGAATATGTAATTAGAAAAGTGAAAGCAATGCTTACCAAGCTGAATGCTAACAAACTACAGCTAACACATCAGCCCTTACTGTGCACCAGGTACTGAGCACTCCACGCATACTGAAGTATCACAGCATCCACACAAGGTAGGCACCATTTCATCTGCACGTCGGTAAACCAGAGGAATAAATTGAGGCTTCCTAGTCACAAGGCTGGTTGAGTGCCAGAGCTAGGGTTTGAGCCCAGGAATTTTGGTACCAGTGTCTGTGCCACAGTGACTAACAAACCCAAATGATCCATTACTAGCATCCGTTCTGCCATTCATCCATCCATCACCAGACTAATCAAAATAAAGGAAGTAAAGGGACACCACTCAATACTCTGTTTGGAGAAAAGGAGACGACCTTTAATTCAGTGGTTACTGAACACCCAATATGTGCAAAGCAATGTGCTAGGAATTTGGGGCCAATAGTGCAGGAGCAAGGCACTAATGCACACGGATGGTGAGACCCCAGGGAAAGGGGAAGGGAGATGTGCAGCAGGAAGCACATTGAGGGTTGAGGCTGAATTAAACTCGTTGCCGTCGAGTTGATTCCGACTCATACTGACCCTACAGGACAGAGTAGAAGAACTGCCCCTTAAGGGTTTCAAGACTGTAATCTTTATGGAAACAGACTGCCACATCTTTCTCTCGTGGAGCGGCTGGTGGGTTTGAACCACTGACCTTTTGGTTAGTAGCTGAGCACTTAACCACTGTGCCACTCAGACCCCTTGAGGCCATATTAGGTAGGTGAACACAGAGAGGAACAATGTTCTAGGCAGAGAGAACAGAAAAAAGACTTGAAGGGAAGAAACAGTGTTGTGTGGGAGGAATCCAAAGAAGCCCAGGGTGGCTGGAGAATGGAGGAGATGAGCCTGGAGAAGGGCAACTATCTTGAACACTGAGGCCAGGGTGGGTGGAGCAGGCCTTCACTAACCCAGACCTAGCAGTGCTTGCCTTATATTAAGGGTCCCAAGGCAGTATAAAGGAGCCCTGGTGGCACAGTGGTTAAGTGCTCAGCTGCCAACTGAAATGTTGGTGGTTTGAATCCACCAGCCACTCCACAGGTGAAAGATGTGGCAGTCTGCTTCAGTAAAGATTACAGCCTTGGAAACCCTATGGGGCAGTTCTACTCTGTCCTACAGGGTCACTATGAGTTGGAATTGACTCGACGGCAATGGGTTTGGTTTGGTTTAGGGAGGTACAGAGAGTCCTTGGGTGGTACAAATGGTTAACATGCTCAGCTGCTAACCAAAAGATTGAAGGTTGGAGTTCGTCCAGATGTGCGTCAGAAGAAAGGGCTCACAATCTAATTCTGAAAAATCAGCCATTGAAAACCCTATGAAGCACAATTTTGGTAGTAAATATTAGCTAGAGTTGGGGATCCTGTGGTACATGTGTTGAATGGAATCGACTCAATGGCAACTGGTTGGGGAGGAATAGTCCGGTGGCTCCCATGGTTTCCAAATGGCCCCGATCACCAGCTACTTCTCCCCGTTCTGTAAGTCTCCTCTCTTCTCCACCAGGTGACCATCACCATTGGGCTGCGCTACCTGCACACAGCACTGGAAAGCGTGTCCAACTCCGAGGACCCAGAGTGTGAGAGTGAAGGCTGGCTGCTGGAGAAAAGCGTGCAGGAGACATGGAAGGCCTTCCTTGAAAGCTTGAAGAAGCTGGGCAAGAGCAACCAGGTGGATGCCCAGGGCGAGGATACAGGCCAGGCCCCAGAGGCCGGCTGAGGGCCCAGGGACCTTCCCTTCCTGAACACTGAGAAGTAGTGGCCTCCAAGAAATGCGGATCCCCCCTCACCCAACTCTGAAAGTCTGAATCTCCCGAGGAGGGTGCCATCTTCCAGAGACTGTTCTTGATGGTGGGATTTAAAGTTTAGTATCTCTGAAAACATTTGGTGAACTTCTGTTGAATGATTGACTCAAAATCTGAATAAATGAGCACCCACTCAGGCCCATTGCCCTAGGATATGCCCTCATGATGCACTCAGGGAAATGCCTCCATTTTTTCCCACATTTGAGGTTTCTCATTGGATGACCATGCCTGGCACCCATCTGTCTCCAAAGCACAAGAGTTCAGTTCCCACCGAGGCTACTGGCCACACCTGAGGGCTGCTTCCCTTTTGAGTTTGCCTGTTATGAGCTCAAAGTTGCTTCATACTATGTCCAAAGCATCACTTGGAGTCTGAAAAATGTACTGGACATGTTGTCACTTTTTTTTTTTTTTTTAATGCCAAGAATAACAGGTTGGCCATTTCGTTTGTTTAGTGGTGGAAGGTTGGGGACAGTTACACTTTTCTAGGAGTAATGGGCTCTTCAAAAGCATTGAGGGCTCAAAAAAGGAATTCTTCAACCATGGGGCAAGAGAACTTTAAAACGGGATTATTTCTCCTCCCCTAAAATACAGTGGAAGGCCTGTTTTTCTGTTATATTCACATGCCCTCAGTCACCTGGCCAGTGGGGAGCCACGGTGGAAGAAGACAGATTGTTGGCAGGTTCTAGCAACACCCTAGCTCTGAAGTGCGGGGTGATCTCCTTTGGCTTGTCTGTGAAAGTACTGGGCTAGATTATTGCCATTCTGTGGAAGAGGTGCAAAATTCAGACAAAAGTTCACCCTGTGGAGAACAGGCCTCACCTCTTTGGGGGTCTAGGGACATCCACACAGGTGGCCATGACAGTCCCCATGGACAGCACTAGATGTCCACAGTAGAGGGTGAGAAGTCTTGGAGAACTTTTTCTCTCCGAATACCTACTCTGCAAAGCAGTATTTCTGGAATGCCTCCACAGTGAGCCCATCTCACCAAGCTAGCAGGTGCAAGAATTTTCACTTCCTTCAGGAACAAGAGAGAAAGGAAGCTTTCAGGGGAAGGAATTTCACTTGTGACGAACGCAGGGCTAAGCATATTCCGGCAGGCAGAAAGAACAATCAAGATGCCCACTCCCACCTGGCTGGAGACCAAAGCCAGAAAGAAATGGAAACAGCCCGTGGACAACTTACCTGCTTCTGACCGAGCAATGGTGTTTAGGAACAGATTGCTTTGGATTGAGTTTGGGTTCATTGCTGTCCTAAGAATTTTCAACGTGGAGAAAATAGGACTTCTGGTGCTGTTTGGGTTATGTTCCAGGGCGCTAATTCTCTCAGGCAGAAGACCAGGTCACAGATGTTTGGACTCCGTTGGACTTTGGTCCCAGGTTCAGCTAGACTTTTGAGTCTCCTTGAGACCAAATAATGAGCTACACTGAAACCACTGAGGGAGTCAGCCCCCTCTGACAAGGGTCCCGAGCTCTCCCACCTTCTCAGGAATGCTGAAAACCATCCTGTAAGTGCTGCTCTAGGCCCACATATGTAACTGTGATGTTAACAGCTTTACAATAGGCATTAAACATTATATTGTATGAAAATCACTTTTGTTAAATGAGTGTCTTAGCCCATTCAACACCATGTACAACAGGATCCCCAATTGTAGTTAATATTTACTACCGGGGGGCAAAAGGGGGGGAAGAAAATGACATTTAAAAGGAGGTATTGCTAATGATCAGGGATGCTGTTTCAACAACATGGATGTCCCGTGTCTCCCTCTTGCTCTTATCTACAAGAACAATGACTATTAGGTTATTCAAATCATCTCAACATTTGCTCAAGTTTGGACCAGAGCTGAATTTATCTAGTATGTGGGTGGGATCTTTAGTGATTTGAACAAAAATTACAATTTTTTTTTTTCTGCTCTCCTCAAAACATACTTCCCTAAATAGGGAAATACAAGTCTCTCTGGGGCCAGGCTATGTATGGGGCAGAGGGAGCAACCTGAGAACCTGAGTGCTAGTGGGAGGACCAAGGGCGAACTGACCTGTCGACAAATCCTGCCAGTTGGTCCAGAGAAGATTTAGGATTGACAGCAACTTAACAGGTATTCTCAGGTAGCCAGATAGCTGCCAGAGAAACCCAGCCCCTCCCTTCTGGCCACCTACCAGTGCCCAGTAAGCCTCTGGCACCAGGTTCTTCCTTGTGCCCAACCTCATTCAGTCTTTCCCTGGGCCGGTGTAAACGTGTTTCTCCCAAGGGACTCCACCCATTTTTAAAAGTTCTGCCAGCCTGGCCCTGGGGTAGGGTAAGAGGTAAAGATAGGGCCTTACTGCTGATTTTTAAAACATTCACTTCAAAGTGAAGAAGCAGGTAATAGCTACTTATTCTGAACTTGCAGAAAGAGGAGTGTCCTAGATTTGTGGCCTCAGCTCAAGAACCCACAGCCCTGTGCAACATGCTTCAAGCCCAGGACTGTGCCACCAGCAAGTAAACCCCAAGTGACCTCAATACAGGTTAATCAGATTAGAAGCTTGCTCTGCAGTGTCCTGCCTCTCCTCATCCAGGCACCTGTAATGCTAGGCCAGCAGGTTTGCAGTTTAGCCAGGGCAGGGGTGGATCAAGACAATTTAGGGCCTCTCACACACAAAAAGCTGGCTCTCGAGTGCGGCCAGCCAGCAGTGCAGTGTGTTAGGAATAGAAATGTCTGTGGAACGCTATGAACTCTGGGGGAGAGAAAGAATGCCTTCTCAGTCCTCACTGGATACAAGGTTGGCTTGAAGGGACAAAACTTCAGTCCTTACCCCTGATGGCATTGTATTCTATGCTCCAAATCAGAGGATGAGTGTGAGAAGCAAGTTAAGACATTAGAGAAGGCTGTGCTCCAAGAATGGTGTGGAGTGGAGGACTGAGACAGGAGAAACACCTCCCAGCTATTTACTAAGGGAAATGAAAACTTTGGCTCACAAAGAAACCTGTACACAAATGCTTATAGAGGCTTTATTTATAATTGCCAAAAATCGTCCAAATGTCCTTTACCTGGTGAGTGTATAAACATCTGTACGATGGAATACTACTCAACAATCAAAAGAAACACAACAACATGGATGACTCAACTATCTAATGTATTATTCTTTTTAGTGAAATAAGCCAGACTCAAAAGGCTACGTATATAATCCCATTTTACAAAACTCTAGAAAAGATCAAGGGGTAGAAAAAGATTAGTGGTTGCCAGGGACAGGGGTGGTGGGACATAGTTGACTACAAGGAATCCTGAGGGAACTTTCTAGGGTGACGGAACTATTCTATTTCTTGCTTGTGGTAGTGGTTAAAATGACTGTGTTTGTCAAAATGCATAAAACTATACACTAAAAAGGGTGAATTTTATTGTGTGTAAAATATCTCAATAAACCTGACTTTTACAAAAGAAGAGAGTAGGGACACAGGAAGCAGCGTGTCAGAAGGGCTTAGTGAGCCCTGGACCTGAAGACAGCCAGACTGGGGAAGGCAGGAAGCAGGGAGCAGCCTTAACTGTCAGGAGACAGGGAACACACAGACCCTGGCATTTTCAGCTTTCCTTCTAGACGCACGCCGAAAGGCACAAAAGAGCTCTCACAGGCGATGACTCACCTAAAAATAGAGTGTAGTCTCCTTATTACTTGTATCTCATAAGCAGAAAGAGTTTGGGGAGGGTGTAAGGACTAGGATGTGGAGGTCATCAGGTGAAGATGAACACAAGAATTTAAACCTCGAGGCGGGTTTTGGAGCTGTGGGAGAGACTTCGAGTGCCTTGTTTTCCAAGTGATTTGAGGTCCAGAACGGTCCAGAAAGGTCAGAAGCTGTCACAGTCAATGAATATGAAACATAATCGGCTGAAATGCTGATTAAGCTTTTTCTGGGAAGGTCAAGATGGTTTGGCTAACGGCCATAACTGACACTAATAATATAAGCATCTTAAATTTCAAGCTAATACAGATGTCCCACTTTATTTGTAGCACGGTGACATGGGGAATACTTAGATGGCATTTAAGTATGCGAAATAAAACAGAAAAAGACACAGGCCGACCCAAAGTAATGTCAACACCTAAAGCATTTATTTGGATATCTTGAAACTTTTTACATATGATACATTCCAAATTTTACAAGTTGTCCACAGATATTAAAGTTATAGTCAATTTATTAAACAGATATGATTTTCCCTGATATGGAAAGCATGTTATATAAACATTTCTACAATAAACATGATACGTGCTGAACAAATCATAAAACTAAGACAATTAGCTTAACGATGCACACACCAGAAGACAAAAGTGTGTGTATGTTGCTATTTCATGTAAATTCATATTCTCTCAAAGATTCCCTGACATTCGTACAGAATGGAGGCCAGGGACGCCCTCTGTTAACCTCAGGCTTTTGTAAAGCTGGAGCGTTGTTATGACTCCGTGAAAATGCCTATAGTACACTTACAGAGGGAAAACCTGGTCTTACAATTTTAAACTTAAGCTTGGTGAACATACAGAGAAAAGCCAAAAGAAGCTGGACTTAAAAGCTAAAGAAACTGGGATGTGACAGAGCCCAAATATTAAAATTATACCATCCACAAACAACCAGATCTTAAGAATGGAAGATAGGACAGAAAAGGGGCCAAAAGGTGATTTTAATTTGGATTTTCTTCCTGTTGGTCCCCTCTCAGCTGGGTGAGCCAGCCTTTCAAGAAGGGGCAGTTCCTTCACACACTGAACCCTGCGTCTGCATCCCACCTTACTTGTGCTTCAGGTGTGGGTTTCTGCCTTCCTCCTGGGTGTACTGTGGAGGGTGCAAAGCTCAGTGGAACGCAACTTGTGGATGCAGTTCAAAGAAAGCTGAGTGAAAGGGTCACTTGGATTGGTTAAAAAAAAAAACTTCAAGAGCCATGATTATTCATTTGTCCCTTAGCCCCACCTTAGAGAGGCTCAGAGTTTATTCCTCCATTAAATCTGCCACCACTCTTGGTGAGTATTCAAGCTTTCGGAGAGTGTATATCAAACAAGAGTGGTTGTGTGGTATGTAACCGTTATAAGCTATTTTACTAAGCGGCTATCATTCTAGGAAGGCACCTCTTAGTAAGAACAATAGTTTTTCTAAAAAAAAAAAAAAAAAACCCTGGGTGCACAGGCTGTCCCAGGAATGTACTAAGCGGCCAGCAGGTAAGCAGCAATTCCTCTATCCCAGGAAATGCTGGAAGGGGTGGGGGTGGGGGAATCTCAAAACACCAGGTTCTCATTCTTCCACTCGTGTTTGATTCTAGACACGCACACTCTTTCAATTTAGTTATAGAAATGATACCAGAGAACAGTACTGTTTGAAAAATTAGAATATATTCATTAAGTTTTCTTAAAAAGCCCTTTAAAGTGAGGTTTTTTTCTCTCAAAGCTAAAAGTCTCACTAAAAAAAAAAAATTCAACCTTCTACAGCACTGAAACAGCACTCAGTACACCATCTCCCGCAATCCTCCCCGTGGGCTCCTCCCTTAGGAGTGACTCCCAGCACTCTCACAGCAGATGGAGACAGGAATACCAGCTTCACAAACAACTGCTTTGCTCTGAGAGCTAGGAGCTCGTTAGCAGGGGATAAAATCAACCCAGTTCCAATGCTGAGTCACTGAGAGGGACCAGGAAGCATGACTCCAAAACACCACACAGACTTGGCTTCCCACCTCTGCTGGATCCGCTTTGGGCCTGCAGTTCACTGCAATCACTAATGTAAAACGGCTCAGGTCGACCTAGTCAGACTTCTGATTCACACTTCCACAGATGGCTGGGCTCTAGAGCTCAGGAAGAGAAGCTCCTTGCTGGGCCCTAAAACCCGACAAGTTACATTTGAGGCAAACAGCGAATGATGCAAAGGAATCTGCCGACGAGGATGATTTCTGTCTAGTCCCTAGAGCCGGAAACTATAAAAATAAAACTGGGAAGGAAAGCTTAAATAAAGAATTTATTTCCAAATTCAGCAGACCTTATTTCCTACTCTCTTTCTTCAAAAGCCAACTGGGTTACAAAAATCAAAGTTCATGTTTTGGGTAGTGAAGTACTTATAAATGCTGCCAGTCAATGCCAACCAGTGTCTGATTTGCCTCCTGTGCGTGTCCAATTTCCTCCGTGACGCTGTGCTGCTGCCAGAGCTTCTGAATCTTCTTAAGTCGCTCTGCGCACAAGTGTAAAGGATTGCCCCGTCTGCAGAGAAGACACATATATCAAGAGGCCCTCTACTCATGCATATGTCACACCCCAGCTCTTCCTGATAGAGGAAAGGTTACAAGTTATTGGTCTTAGACCCTCTGTAAAACTTCTGTTCAGCAAGTGAGTGTGAATATTAATACATCAGCCGGACTAGTGTCTGCTGAAAAGAAGAAAGACACAAGCTACACTTACCCCAATGGGAGTGAGAAATAGGGTGGGGGTGGGACAGGAGGGCTTAGGTTTAGAGGCTAAAACTAACCCATTCACTGTCCATTTTGTTGGTAAAATATGAGAAAAAAAGGGGAGACGATCGAAGGAGAATTGCAGGAGCATCAATGTTCCTCAGAGTGCTAAGTCTTTCAGCCACAGAGTCTAAGCAAAGAGCAAGCAAACATGAGCACCTTCAGTCTTTAATCACCAGCACAGGTTCTGGTGATCTTACGCCTGGGCCAAGTGCCCTGAGCTGTGTACCTCTGTCCCCAAGTCAGAGCTCACCCTCTCTCACCAGGGCTGCTCCTCCTGAAGGCCCACGCTCCTTGGCCAGGTGGCACATGCCCTGTAATCTTGCAGCCAAGTGCCTGGGGCAGCTCATCTACTTCTGGTTTCCAGGCCTTCAACTTCCTTCTCTAAGGCTGCACAGTCTGTCAAAACTTTTACCTCCTTTTGAGGGAAAAGAGATGGTCTAAATAAAGTTCTTTAATAATGCTGGAGGGAAATGCTGTTAGCACTCTGCTTACGATAGAAGCTACCAGAGAAGAAGTGACTAAGCCCCCAAATACTGTCACATTGCTCCGTATGTTCTAAATCTTTGTCCCCTAGAGATTTTTATGTAAGTAAGACAAGCATGTCTCTTATCAATTAAGATATGCTCTTTTATATCACATGAATAATGCCAGGGTCTCCCCTATATAAAACCACAGAAGTCAGAATGGCCATCTGGTAGTGTTCTGATGCTGCGGATGGCACATGGCAATTCAAACAGTTCTTAGGAGTTTTGATAAATGAAAAAAGTTGCACTCTGTCCCGTTCTTTTCCTTATTTACCTGATGGCCCTCATGGCACTCTGAGGGCTGGGAAAAGAATGTCAAACTAGGCAGTCATGGTGCCATCCTCGGAAAAGGGTCCATAGATCACCAAAGCCCACTACGCCAAATCACCTAAGCCCCTTGGTTGTCAGTGAGGCTGACCTCAGGGCCACCAAGCTCATCTCATTCACCATGTACTGAAGGGCTCTAGAGGCCAAGAGTCAGCCAACGCAGCCAGGCTGGGCCCTTACCTGAGTCCCTGGTCGGTCTCCCCATAGTCATCAAGGTAAGGAGGAGCATAAAAACAGCCTTTGGTTTTCCCGGCTAAAAACAGCACCTGACATTCCCGTACTCTGTAGAGAGACCATTTATACACAGCATTTAGACATTAGGAAGCAAGGTTTACAAGAGTCCTGGTCATACAGTGGTTAAAGCGCTTGGCTGCTAACTGAAAGGCGGGCAGTTCGAACAAGCTAACTGCTCTGCAGTTGAAAAGACGTGGCAGTCTGCTTCCATAAAGATTACAGCCTTGGAAACCCTATCGGGCAGTTCTACTCTGTCATACAGGGTTGCTAGGAGTCAGAACCGACTCGACTACAATGGGTTTGGTTTGGTTTAAACAAGGCTTGGATTCAGTTCCAAATGGACTGAAGTCTTATAAAAACAAAAGCAGTGCTGGAAGAGAAGAAACAGCATTTGCAGCAAAAAGGCACTAAAGAGTTATCAGCACATCCGTACAAGTTTTCAAAATTACTCAAATGATTGTATAGTAATTCATTACAGTGATGGGGAAGGATACCTAGGATTAGGAATCAACTGCTCAAATAATAGTAATAATTAAAAAATTGTTAAGTATGAGAAAGACAGTTAACTTCTAAACATAAAATAGGTACTGATATTTTAACCTCTATTATGAGGAAATTATTCATCTAAAAAATGGTGCACAAACATTATTATGTTGACTTCAGACACAAGGCCGCTCATTTTGTATGTGACCAAAAGAATCTGGAAATATGCTGCTTTTACATTTCTTCCAAGGACTATTAAAAAAATTGTCCCCTGACTAGAAGGCAGGAGGGTACAGGAAAGCTGGTAATAGGTAACCCAAGGTTGAGAAGGGACAATGTTGACATGTTGTGGGGTTGTTAACCAGTCATAAAACAGTATGTGTACTAACCGTTTAACGACAAACTATTTGTTCTGTAAACCTCCATCGAAAGTACAATAAAAAAAAAAAAAAAGGAGAGAAAAAAAAGAAAATCCTATGGAGCACACTTCTACTATGACACACATGGAGTCGCCATGAATTGGAACTGAGTCAATGCCAACTGTTCAACTGTTTTTGTTTAGTTTTTTTTACTTGACATATAAACAAACTGTGGTCCAGGGAGGGAAGGGACTTTCCTGGTAACACCCATGCGGTGCAGTGAATTACTTAATATGGCCCTTCTAGCCATAGTCTTTGTGAGTCCCATACAATGACTGGGTGGGACCACACAAATAAGGTGTATGGAACCCTAACAAAGTGTGGTGGTTGGTGTTGTGCGTTGGCTAGGCCAGGCCATGATTCTCAGTATTGTGAAAAAAAAAAAAATTGTGTTCTGATCCCTTTGAGAGATTTGCCTGACATTCGTATTATAGTATGTATTTTTCTTACCAATCTTTTTTTTTTTTGGTAGAAGCCTGTTTTTATTGTTGTAAACTATACTGTATAACACAAAATTTGCCAACTCAACATTTTTTACATTTATAATTCAGTGATACTCATTACATTGATCATATTATGCAACCAACACCAGTATCTGTTGCCCAGTTTTCCATCACCACAAACAGATACTCAATGCTTCCTATTCAATGGTGGGTCATATGGTAATTATATGTTCAACTTTCTGAAGAATGCCAAACTGCTTTCCACAACTGCAGTACCATTTTGTATTCCCACCAGCAATCAATGAGGTATCCAGTTTCTACACATCCTCTCTAACATTTGTTGTTTTCCATTTAATTTCTTAAATCTTAGCCATCACGGTGGGGGAGAAGTGCTATCTCATTGGGTTTTGAACTGAATCTCCTTAGCTCCATGACAGCAGATTTTTGTTTGCTTTGTTGACTACTGCATTCTCAATGACTAGTACGTAGCAGGCACTAGATATACATTTGTTGAATGCATACAACGATTTATGTCAGCCTGTGACACTGATGAGTAGAGGTAAAATCCAAAAACCATGAGGATACAACAGAAGGGCAATTCTGACTGAGTTTGGGGAGGAAATGAGGACCAGCTGAAAGTTCCACATTAGAATAAGACATGAAGAAAGCAGAAGAGAACTGTGACCTAGGGAGTGGGGGGTGGAGGAGTAGGGAATGATAAGAGAAGAACCAGCACAGAGTTAGCATGAGTCAAATGTGAGATGTGAGGAGACAGGCTTCCCATGTTCTCCAAATGGGTAAAATACATGAGAAAAGTGGTCTTAAAATTCTCTGCAATGTAGTAGTGTCTTGTGCCACCCCCTCAACAGGCACATAATGAGGCAGGTCCAAAACTAAGAAGCTCCCTACAGGGCCTTACCTCAGGAAGATGCCCACCCCAGAGCCACAGGAGTAGGTGTGAGCTGTGCAGGCTCCCACGTCTTCCCCTTCCAGCTCCGTCTGACAGCAGTAGCTCTGGGAGCACAGCAGGGTTCCACACACAAGGCACAGCGTGGGCGCTCTGCTCTTGTCCCCACCTGATTTGGGGCACCTCCATGGGACAAAGAAAACATAAGTCATGTCTCAAAAATGGAAAAGAATTTTGCAATATCAAGTAGAGCTAAAGATGCATATAACCAATGGCCCAGGGAAATTCACTCCTAAAACAGGGAACAGGGAACCTTTCACACATGTACCTAAAAAATCATGTGCTGGAAACAACCAAATAATTGTCAAGAGGAGAAACAAAAACAAACACATCTATTGCCATCGAGTCGATTCCAACTCATAGCGACCCTATAAGACAGACCAGGACTGCCCCAATAGGGTTTCCAAGGAGTGCCTGGTGGATTCGAACTGCTGACGTTTTGGTTAGCAGCCGTAGCTCTTAACCACTGTGCCACCAGGGTTTCCAACAGGAAAAAAGATAAGTAAAATCATCAATAGGAGAAAAAGAGAAATAAATTGTGCTTTGTCATATAATAAACTACTATCCACAGCAGTTAAAGATCTACGCATTAAAGTGATAAACGTCAATACGGATAAATCTCACAAACAATGCTGAGTGAAGAAGACAATAGAATAGGCAGTACAATGCCGCTTAAATAAAGCTTAAAACATACAAAATAATATAGCTACTTAGGAACAGAAACAGATGTAGTTAACATACAAATGCACAGGAATGCTCAGTCACGTTAGGACAGTGGATCTCTGCAGGGAAAAGAGGAGGCAACAGAGAGGGGATCCATAGGAAGCTTCAGTGGTCTAGATAATGTTTAATTGCTTACACTGCTGTACTATTCTTTATGCTGCTTGTATATGAAATATTTAATATGCTGAAAACTGCTAAGAAATTAATTTGAAGTACAAATTATTATTTCTTATTCGGAAACATGGTGGAATAACGCATGTACAAGAAGCTAGGCAGTGTAAGGTACTACTGATGTTATGATTTCCCTATCCAAACAAGATAAAGAACAACAAAAAATTCCTCGGATTCTTTGTAGAAAGGTGAATGCTGCCAGTGGTAGGAAAAGCTCTATACTCTAGTATCAAAACTTACGAGAAATTAGATGCTTGGTTAATGAGGCTGCTGTAATCCTCTGGTAAGTCTATTAATTTGTTAGATTCTCTTGGATAGCTAAAAAAACAAACAAAAAAAATCCAGTTAACATGAGGTCATACATATTATAATAACAACAGGATAATTCTTAATGTAGTCAAAACAAAGGAAGACTTTGAATCTGAGTGAGTGTGT